AATAACCAATCTGTTTTCATCTCCGATTTCACTTTTAATTAAATTTCTATTTTGATTTCCAATTTTGTGTTTTCCAATTAAATCATTCTTTTCATTTGCAGCTTTAGTTTCGATTAATATATTACGTTGTATCATTTTCAATTTCTACGATCCTCGATTCTTAAAATTAAGTTACCAAATCGGTTTCGGAGTTTTGGATTTGCGCCATTCCAAAGGGAATCCTGGAAGAGAGATAAGAAATCGGCGTAAAGAAAAAAGGGAGAAGAAATCCCGGTGACATAAATCTCCACGTGTAATGGCGTTAATCCATCACTGGGAAATTTATTCGAGCGAGAAATGAAATTTTCGGCGCAAGAAGCGCCGTGAACATTTAAGGCCAATAAAAGGTGGCAGCTGAAGGCGTGCGACCCGTGCGACCATGCGCCGCATATCGACTTATTGCAGAATGCATAATAGCTTTTCTCAGAAAAATCCATGAAAGTGACGTAGTAGCATGACAAAATGTAAAACGGAACAAAAATTGTTATTATTTAAAAATATTACATTTTTTCCTAACCAAAAAAAAAGTAACAAAAATACAAGCGATGCGATAGAATGTATGTAACATAACAAAATTTATTGCATTTTTATCGTATTAAAAATTAATAATCTGAAAAATCCGTAAAATCAAACGGAATTCGAAAACTGATTATTGAAAGATAACAATAATTTGAGATTCTTAATAATTAAACATTTTTTGCATATAATAGTTCTAATTAAATTAGAGGTCTTTTCAGTTATTACGGCAAAATTCGTCCAGAGTCAAACAAAATTTGGTAATCGGTTTGCGAAGTTAATTGAGCTTTACAAGATCGCGGGTTCTGTTCGAAAATCCGGAATATTCCTAAGTGGATTAAGGCGAGCTTAAGACTGGCTCAAGAAGTTGTCCGGCTAAAGTGATAGTACATTTAATAACCAGATTGCGGTTTGTTCTCTGCTTAATTGTTGCAGTATTTTAAGGATTTTAGATCAGGATGTATCGCAAATAGTGCAGATAAGAAAAAGAAGCGTACACCGTAGCAAATCATAATATAAGAACAAAATCGTTATTTTAAAAATATTAAGTTTTATCTTACACAATTAATAGGAAAAGAATAAACAATAATTTTGACAGAATTTATGCAACGTAACAAAATTTATTACATTTTTATTGTGTTGAAAATTGACAATCTTTGAAAGTCTTTGATATACCGTAAAGTACACTTTTATTATATACTGAAATAATCTTTATGGAATTGTACACATTCTTATGAAAAAGAAGAACTAATTAAGCCCCCCTTATAAGATTAATGCGATTGTAATTAAAATTTGTTTGATTGTAAAATAAATTAATCAAAATGAGCATTGGTTGATATATAAAATTGGATCAAGTCAAATCGGTGAAGAGACGAGAGAATTGTGTATTCCGTCGCATTACCGATATTGCCGAGTCACAGGAAAAAAAAAACATCTCTACGGACTTATTTATCAAACGAAAGTTGTAACGAAAACATGATGCCAAACGAAATCTCGAGCAATATGAATCTCCGAGAACGATATCGGAATAATCCCCGTATTTTCTGGATATTCTATCGCGATATTTGTGAACATAGGTTTCGTTCCCTGGGAGTGTCCTTTCGCGAGTCTTTTAATCGCATGTGCGCACAAGCAAAAAATCGCCCAAGGGCGCAATAAATCGCTCCTTTATCGCAATTCTCGGAACTATATTGCGTTTTGTTAATGCTCGCGGAACTCTCGTTCCAGTCCCGCTCTTCGCGGGAACATTTATTCATGTCCAATTTATCGCGACGAGCTTATCGCGATTAGCATTCTTCTTTCACGACACTTTCGTGCACTATGCATTACAAATCGATATTCAATTTAAAGAGAAATGAGATTTTCTTGCACGAATGAATAGTCTATCAATTTGTTTATTTATCTTAGAGATAAGATTGAAAAAATTTAGAAGAGCATAATATTGCAAGGAGAATTCAATTCAATTTTTTTAATTTAATTTAAAAAGAAACGTATTAATTTTGAAAACACGAATGATATATGTATATACAAATTTGTTTATTTAGTCTGACACAGTAATAAGCAAAAATACAGCAGGATGTAAACCGACAGAATTTATGAGTTGAAAATCGGAGAGAATAATATCGCAGAAATAGTACCAAAGTAAATTCGATACTTGAACAAAGCCGTATTAACAACAGGAACATAGATATCAGTATGCAAAACGCATCGCCCGAGATATGAGGGTGCAAAAGAGATTTTTTTACAAACCCTTTTTAATATTCAACTCCTTTTGCATCTTTAAATTCCACGTATGTGATTAAAATGAGTTAATAGGATTAGCTTTCACTGGAAAATATATGAGAAATGTACGCAGAATTGTTACAATTAACTGTAATTTGATACGTTTGACAAACGCATACTTTAATAAACACTATTTAATTCTCGCAATTAAAGGACATTTATTGTAATTAAATTCAATTTTATATGTAAAGCAATGTACAAAAAATAAAATTTGATTTCCTTTATAAATGCAATTTAATTTTTAATTAATTGGAATTCTTTCAACTACATAAATAAATCCGCTTTCACATATTTGATAATATAGCTTTCAATAAATAAAATCTTCTTAGTAATTAAACAAAATTATTTCATCTGAAAATTGTCAATTACCTTGCTTCATAAATCATAGGTCCTAATTAGTTTGATTGTTAATTTTAATTAGTAATTTTTGCAATTATCGCGACGATTATGAATCTCGGAATAACATCAGATTATTTTAGTTAATTAATAAGGCAGAATTAAAATTTTAAGAAATATTTTCTCTATCATAATCTCCAATTAGCAATTTATAGTTTATTTATAGAATAGAAATTTATTTATATTATATATTGTATAAATATAGCGATAAATGTATTACATTATACATTATTTTTTTTAAGTTATTTTTTACTCATAAACGTTTTTTCTCTCTTTTCAATTATATCAATTTTCAGAAACACATATATATTGATTTGCACAATTAAACATTTCTAAAACATTTTTCATCTATATTTACAGCTCGCATACACTTGTTCACTCAAACAATATTTAGAACAAATATACCACGCAATTTTAACGAATCTCTCTTTCACGATAAAAATATCTTGATGACACACTTGTGTCTCAATGTTTATCACCAGAATTCACTGTTCCCAGATTTCACGAAAAAACGTCCACGTGAAAGTCGTGAAAGAAAATATAATTTTAATGACCTATCACACTTCATAAAGTGAGAACAGTTTGATCAGCATCTTCATGGTTTTAAAAAATTTAGAGATTCCTTTCGGAGAAAAACTAATAAGTGATTCGCAAGAATCGCATAAAAATACGATAATATCAGTTTTGGAAGGACGCAGAAAGGGTCATCAATTATTTATCGATAAGACATTGCAATCATCTCGCGTACATCTGATATAAGGGGCGACGACGAAGGACGAACAGGTGTCCCGATGTGGGCAGGCCGTGCGGCAACGCTTGCGCGTCGCAAAATTCTCGCCGGGGGTTGAGAAGCACCGGTGAGACAGCCGGTGGGGGTGGCGGTGGCGAAATGAAAGCCAGTGGGCTAGTAGTCCACGGCGAAGCAACCCCCGTGGATCGCGTTGTTCGCCCTTCGCGCTCGGTTCCGAGGTCGACTCGCGAATCACTCGCCCGTCGCCACCCCCGACCTGTTATCAGAGACGCGCGCGTTTGAAACCACCGTGGAAAGCCCTTCGGGACCCGTAGAGTGTCCGTCCGTTCGCCATGGAGGAAAGTTCATCGAACAATGTGCGTCCCGATTCTGCGGTTTTCCGAAATATCCGGCAAATTTTCGTTCCCCGAGTTTCCGTGAACTCCACTCGCTCAATTGAAATTCCTGCAAACTGCGAAAATTCCGGAACCTTCGTTTCCTAATTTATTTAAATTCTATTCCAATTATTTTCCTTACTTCATTTATCCTAATAATAAATTTAGTTTCTTGAATTTTTGTGTCTTTTTTTGGATAAATTCTGTAAAAAATATTAGTGCCTTTATTAAGTCCGCCCGTTTTTATCTATAAAAAAGTTATATGGAAATTTCAAAATTTTAGAATCAATTTTTTTTAATTTTTAATACATATATCTTTTTATTTAAACAAAATCTTTCGAAAATTGTTTCTTTGTTTTTTAATTAAATTAATTTCCATTATGTAAATCTCTAGAGATTCCAAAACCTCAAAGTCCTGATTAAATTCCTTTAATTTACTTTTGGCTAATTTAATCTATTTTGACAGTTTAATTCATTTCCTTGAATCTTTGAAAAGAACCTCTAAAAAGTTTAAATTGCTTAAGAATTTCTATTAAAGCTACTAAAGACTTTCTTCGTTTAAATTCTTGAAATCATGAAAATTGTAAACCATAAGATCTTAGAGCTATAACAAACTTTTTAAACTTATTTTACTAATTTACTTAATTTTCTTTAATTTCTAAATTTTAGAACAAATCCTTAAAAATTTTTTGTTTATGTTTATAGCTCTTAAGACATTGATTTTCTTGTTTTTAATTCCCTAAAAAACACTCATTAAAACTCTGACATTTCCAATTCCCAAAACTGCTAAAATTTTGCGATTTATCGCAAATTTTAGAATTTTAAGACCATTAATTGTTCTTTTTCCAACGTTCTAATTTGACATTTCACATTCACACAGATCATAAATAAATCTAAGACACATAAAACGCTTTCTGCTCGAAAATTTTCCGAGATTATCCACTCGATTAAAGTGGCGATAGATTAATTCTAGAAAAATTGGAAAGTACGCTAGTGTATATTAATGGCGATAATATTCGCGACTGCTCGCTTAAACGATCTGCTCATCGATGTAAAACCTGTTGAACACTCAATCCCCGCTTTCCATCGATATATTACCCGGTATATCGGATCAGTCGCATCGATGGAATTGAATCGCTATCGATACTCGTAATTCGTGGAAGGCGCAGTCGGAATGGCCTCTTCCGTCTTCAGGAAAAAGGTCTTCTTCCAGAAAATATTTTACGATTTTACAATCCTGCATCAAGGAAAAATGATTTGGACTTTTAAGAAAAGTATTTCAAGATCGAAATGTACAGTGTTGTAATATAAGAATTCTATAAAGTTTGTAAATCACTGCATGGAGTATCTTAAAAATCAAATTATTGGATTTTTAAGATACTCGTACTTTTATGTTTAGTTACTTGGATTCTCGAATATTTCTATATTTACAATTTTATTATAAAATTTCGAATCTTTCAAATATTTGTAGTTTATCTACGGATTTTCAAAGTCCATCAATTTTTAATTTGTTACATTCTCGACTCAGCAATCTTCAACGTAAATTCTTGTTTCGCTCAAATTTTTATTTCGTAAATTCCTAACATTTTCTGAATTTTTCGTCTTCAATACCATGCCTTCCTGAGCTTTCGTTCCTCGAATTTTTGGCTCTAAAAATATTTCATTTTGTTTTATCATTTTGGTCAATTTCAATCCATTCTCGAGTCTCACAGTGCCGTAACGTTTTTCAATTATAGGTTATTTAGTTAAATCATATCTATCTCTTGTAAATCTTCAATTTCTTCAAATTTCACAAATCCTCTAATTCTCCGAAATATTTTCGACTATTAATTTTTTAACATAAATCATCGTTACTTCAATAATTCTCAATTTCTAAATAATCTTTGTATCCCGACGATTCTGCGATAGTGCGCTTTCAAATACAGAGCCCTCGCGTCCCGTGAAAGTGTGCGTTTTGGTGGGTGAAAGTTTTGACTGAGCGATGACGAGATCGACGACCGTGCGGGTCGTCTTGACGGATTTTTATGATTACTCGTTATGGGATGCCGTTTCCTCGAACAGCAGCGAAATCGACTTGGAGACGACGAGCACGAGTCCCGCCGGAAGTCAGAGCAACACAGAAGAGCTCAACAATTGGTGGGCAATGCTGGCGCTCGTCTTGGTTTTGGGAACAGCCGCAGGGAATATCCTAGTATGCCTAGCGATCGCTTGGGAACGACGGCTGCAAAATGTTACTAATTATTTCTTGATGAGCTTGGCCATCACGGATCTTATGGTCGCTATCTTGGTGATGCCACTAGGGATCCTTACACTCGTTCGAGGTGAGTTTACTATGATATAGCTTACATAAAGTATAGGAGAAGATGAGTCCTCGGGAGTTAGTAAAGGAACAGTTTGAAAGACTGTACGCCCTCACAAGTAGGTACGCGGCTCACAAAGGAGACGTAAAATTTGAAGCAACATTTCACGTATAACATTTATATATAATATTTAATATAATTTATATTTAATACACAACGTTATATAAGTAAAAATGTATCGAGGAGATTAAACACATATGAGTGAAAAATGCCATTCGGCCAAGGCGATTCTACGTGTGTTCGTGTCTAATAATAATTCTCATGAATTTATACAATTTCCAGTGCAAGCAAACCGTGCGCTAATCATTTATCGGTCTTATTATTAAATACAATCATAAACTGAAGCTGTAGTAATATCACTTACTTAATCGACGAGTAATTTAATATTATTGATGCAAATATAAGCATTTTAGATAGTTGTTAATAATTTATTATTGTTGCTAATAAGCATCTTGAAAACTGTAAATAATTTACTACGAAAAATATTATCTCATCCGGGATTCGAATCCGGATCTTCAATATTCCGTGCGGACGTTCTCCCAATTCGACCACCGAGGCATGTAGGTAATAATATTAATCGCAATAACCAGTATACGTAAAATATTTACAGTATAGTAATATTTAAATTTATAGTAGAATATTTAGTAATATTTAGTATTTTGCATATAATATTTATTGTCATATTTTATGCTTAATGTCGTTAATAATGTTATAATTTATACGAGATATTAAAAATAGCGTTTCACATATAATATTTAATTATCTTGATATTATAATTTATGAAATGTATAGAATAAAAAAATTGATGAACGCTAACAATTTTCTAGTGCCCTGAATAAAACGCATTTTTGCATCCTATTTCGCAATTTAAGGGAGAATGTGAGTCGCACAAGGGTGCGTAAAGACGCATATTTATCACCAGTATTGCTGTAGGTATATCTATATATTTGGCGAATCTGAAATAAAAGGACGAAAAATTTTCCAGCATCCTGATTAAAATGTTAACAGTCCAAAACAAGAATAATCGTCGGTAATGAAAACCCAAAGAGTAAAGGAATGTTATTTACAGACTATTTCAAGTAATTCGAGGAGAGAAAGGCATGGCATCCATAAGGGCGCTATTTTACTGCCGACATTACCGTGTCCACATTTAGAGGAGCCGGAACGAAAGAATTAAATAGAATTTCCTAACATTCCGAATAAAATGCTGTACGCCTATTCCAAGCGATTTGAAGGAAAGGAGTGGAAATCGCGTAAGAACGTATATTTGTACAATCTTGGGAAACAAAGATTAAATTCCATAACTTTTCAAACCAAATATTACTACTTGTCCATAAAAGTAATAACGACCTTGACAACGAGAGCAGCTATTCATAGACCAGCAGCTATTTCGAGCAATTTGGAGCGAGAGTAGATGAATTCTCGTAAACTCACATGAGGGCGCTATTTATTGTCGATAATGCTGTGCCCATATTTACACGGGAATTGAAATAAAAAGGTTAAAACATTTCTCTACAGGAGATTTTGAATTAAATGCTACCTACCTCTTTCGAACGGGTTTTGGGCGGAGGCGGAAAACGGGCGGCGTGAAAATGTCACAAGCGCGCGTAAACCAGCGTAAACCACGCTATTTTATCGCCAATGTTATTACGTTCATATCGGGAAAATCTATAACGGAAGGGTTAAAAGTTTCTCACTGATACTCTAAATGAAATATCGCCTGCCTGGCGAAAGAATCAGCGGAAACAGAATTCAGGGGAAAATCTACTACTCATATATATATATATATATATATATATATATAAGGTAGTTTCCATCTCGCGTAATAGGGCGAAATTCGAATAAGGGTTGCTAGTTATCGCCGACGTATCCGAAACAAAGAGGTTAAAAATCTACGGACGCCAAGTGAAACGTCAGCTGTCAAGAGGGAAGAATCGAGCCGGAAAGGAAAATCTATCTAAGCGATGCTATTCGTAGAACAACACTTGCTATTTCGAGCGATTTGTGGAGGCGGATGCGGGCGGAATTGGCGTAAGGGCGTATAAACCGCGCTATTTATCGCCGACATTACTGCAGGCTCACATCGGTCTTCTCGCGTGATAGGTGGCTCGCTTTTACGAGTCGCTCCCGAGAAGCTCAAGGCTCTCTGTTGGCCAAAACGAGCGCGCTTATGCATAATGGATCACCCGGTGGCAACCGACTAGTAATGCTTACTTGATACTTGCATCACAACAGGACGAGCGCAGCTGGCAACGCGGTAGCGTATCGGGACCTTCGTGTCCAAATCGAAAGAAAATTTATTGCGTCAAGTTGTTAAACAGCGAAATAAGAATCAACAATATCTTACATATATTTTTTAACCAAGCAACAAGAAAGATTTCAAAGGCTCAGGAAGCATTATTTTTGTAATAATTTTGTTTTTCTTTTTTTAAATGTTTTGTACGTGTGTGTTAGTGTAATTGTTTCGAACTTTGTCTTTCGAACTAAGCGTAAGTTTCATTGTTGTTTTCTATTATTGAAAACTATACGATTGTATGTTAAACATAAATATTAACCTGTTTATTGAACTGTTTTATGTATAGTATAACATTCGTTTTTATACGAAAAGTATAAATTTTCAATTCTAGTCACTTTTGCGGACACCTGATACAGTTTTAAAGCAGAAAGAAACTGCAAGGAATTAATAAAAATAGAAAATACGAGCGTTATTTCCATTGTCTGGCTGTCGATAATTTTCTATCAATTTTCATTAATTTACTTTTGCTGTATGTCACTGCGATATCGAATATCCGAATGGAAGCATGCTAATTTAATATAAATCTCTTGAAAATTTTGAATTTGATTTATGGAACAAATATTGACATATTTTGAAAGCCAAATAATAACTTCTCTTATAATTAATAATAATGTCTCATAAATCTGCGATTGATAATTGTGTAAATAACGATTATTATTCCTATTACATTCGTCATCTCCGTTAATTTGCTAATAGAAAAGTGCTATTTATTCATTTGACACATGTCGTTGACGATATAGTAATAATATTAAATATTAAAGATAATAAATAACAAAGTTTTTAACAAAAAATGAAATTTATAAATGTATAACAAAATTTTATAAAAGTTTAATTGAACAATCAGTACTGAGTTAAAGTATCTTTAATCGCAGATCGTGATTTCTCGACACGACTTGCGGCTGCGTTAAACAACAACTTAATTTAGCCGAAGTGGGGTCAAATATAGAGTGGCGTATAGCGACCCACAAAGGAAAGACGGCGGGCGTGCATGGGAGGAATCAACGGGGAAACAGAGGATCGATGCTCAGAAATAACACGCACTCACGGGATTCGCCGCTTTAATTTCACTCCGGGGAGAAACGGATTCGTGTCTTGTATCGGTCAATCACGATCGCTGTTTCTACTATTGCTACTTCAAGGATGCTTGTAATTTCTGCTGAATTGTATTGGTTACATTAGAAATATCGATCTTCTATTTTCAGATCGTTCCTAAAGAAATAAACTATCAAGATATATTTTACATTCTTTAGACACTGAGAAAAAATATTCTAAATAAATATTTATTTGAATTTAGTTTTCTTCAGTGTATAAGAAAAGAGTTAAGAGAATTAAAAAATTCATAGAATGTAAACTCAAGGCGATCAATTGAAAGGACCAAAATATTCTATAATTAACACATTCCCAAAATTGCGATGAGATAACTTCTAGAGATTATAAAAATTTGAAGAGTGAAAAATTTGCGAAACCAAGGATTCATTAGCAAGGAAATAGATTTCAGGATGACGCTTCTTAATGAACAGAGGGAAGAACGAAGGACGAAGACGGATCAAATGGAATATTCATCAGATATAATTATTCGCTCACCGAGAAACTTTAGGATAGATCGACCGATTAAGTGTGGCTAGCGCATCAACTTCAAGGGTGTATCATTTGTCCCTGAGGAACACAAGATGAAGAGAAAAAGATTTTGAAATCTCTACGTCACAAAAGTCAATTATTCTAAGATTTATAGATTCAATATTTTAATTTTAAGATTCAGATTCTACACAGAGAGACTAAAATCTGAGAATAAAAGAATCCTAAACTTTAATTGTCTTATTATTAAATAATATATAATTAAATGTTATGTTATATAAATACAATTAAATAAAATATTAAATAAATAAAAGTTACATAAATATAAATAAAACATTTGTGTTATATAAATATAAACAAAATACAGATAATTAAAAAATTTTTTTAATTAAAAATACCATTTTAAGAAATATCCAATTTATGCTAATCATTTATTAAATAAATCATATATTAAATAAAAATTTAATAAATTCTTTCTAATTTCCATTCTTTAACAAGTAAATAATAATGGTCAAAGATTGACGAATAAAGCGGGTTATTTGATTTCATTATGTCAATGGGAGGAGGAATTTGAAGGGACAAGAGACGAGAATTGATTTCCGGTGACAGGATTTGATCCTAGCGAATGTATACTCTGACTAAACTGTTCCTAGTCTGTAGGACACGCATGGAAATACGGTTAATTGTAAGTGTCCTGTCGACAGGACATGTCTGCGTGCCTCGTCAAGATTCAGCCGCCTGAACTAACGAACGAAATGGGACCGGAACGTGTCCTTAATTTTATTATGCACGAAGAGAAGCTTTAATATAGTTACGCGAGACACATCGGCACATCATTACACGGCTAATAATATACTGCTAATATACTGATATAGCGAATATCAGCAATAGACTGATAGACCACTTTCCTGCTCGAAAAGAGAGAAAGGAGAGAGAGAGAGAGAGAGAGAGAGAGAGAGCGCACGCTTCAATTAACTAGTCATGTTTAAGCTAATCGACAAAAAATAAATTATCGATTATTGAAATTCTCGACTTTTTGCCAGTAAACTGATGTTAAAGATTGATATTAATCGATAATTCGCGTAATTAA